CAGATTATGAGCAAGCAATAATACATCACTGTTTTTTTAAACTTATTCATTGCCATCCCTTTATTTTTGGCCATCAATGTGAGGATTCTTTTACCTTTACAATTGTGATAGTTGCGCTGTAGAAGAAGCTCAGCAGAAAGAGGGTGATGAATGTAGCAGCTGTTGACCATAGACTATCCTCGTCATCCTCATTGCTGTTCTCCCAGATGAAGTACTCTAAAGTGGTAGAGATTGGAGGAAATGGGTTATTAATTTGTGTAATTGTTAATTATCCAAGGTCAAACAAGGAAAGGCACTGCCCAGACACAAAATATATGTTTCTTGTATCAAGGCCTTGTGAGCCCAGGGACAATAAAAAGTATCCAAGGTAACAACGGTGCTGAATTGTTGGCACCTTGCAGGTTCTGCAAGTATGTGTTTCAGTCATCAAACTGATCTCTGTGTTCCTATGGAGCCCTAAAATAAGTCTTGCACTCTCCAGGTGCCAAGACCACCCCGGTTGAATTATTGTTAAATGACAGAACCTCTACTGCTCACTGGGGTTCTGGCAATTGACAGTTGAATGGCAGGATTTAATCTTAACTCTGTGTTTAGCTTTAGCCTAGGGTTCAAGGGACTAAGATGACAGGTATTGTGGTTGCACTTCAGCACTGCTCCTACGTTAGATATGTCTTGTGCCAGGTCACGGTAACTTTAAACAATGCAATAGGGTTATGCATGTTTTATGACTATGATGTTACAATGAGTGACAATTCATAAAGGTGGGCCTGATGCATAAAGTTATATGCAATGTATTTTTTTTTATTGCTTCCCATTTTTCACATAATCAGGTAATATTTTGCTATTTTCTTTAAGGCAAATGCATGTAAAAATCATTTATACCTCAGACTAATAAAATGGTTATTATAAATGAATACCAGGCTTAAAAATAAATGTAATAAGCAGTAGCTCAAGGGCTGTACAGAATACTGGTTTGTAAACGCTTGATACTAACAGGGTTATTCCCAAAAGGTTGAAGAGTTTACAGAAGGCAGGAGAAAATTCTCCAATTTTGCTCACTTTCCAGTTCAGCTATGTTGTCCTAGATTTTTCACTTCTCCTTCCTTCTCCAAACTCTTCACCCTTTTGTGAATAACCCTGTAAATAATACCATCAATATCCATATAAAGCAGCATTCAAAATATATAGTCAATTTATGAAGGCGTTTCCCAACGACCTCATTAGTTTGTGTTTTCAAAAGGATGGCAAAAAATGTGCAGTAAAATTTTGTATTGACTTTCAACATGTTGTTTCTAAAGTTAATACTCCATAAAATTCAACTGATGATACCTAAAACAATCATTATATGATAGAATTACCATGCGAGTCTCATTTCTGATAAAAAGGTACTAACCTAATCCAGAATTTGAAGTACTTCACTTTCTATTTAGATTGTATGTGCTTTTCAGTTGCTATTGCTAATAAAATATTTAATATTTTCTAAAAATAAAATAAAGTAATATTAAAGTGCTTCTAAAGCTATCCAGGAATTATATCTAGTGGCAGTCAAGAACATTGGGCAACTCCTGTATGTTCTGGTAGTAGACATGTCAGAAGTGGACCCCAGGCCTCCTGTGAATGTGGAGTTCAGATAAGTGCAACATAAGTCGGAAAAGTGTAGCAGCTGAGAAGAGAATGCCAAGGGTGAATTCCAGAGAGCTTAGAGGAGAGTGGAAGGCGCCAGAAGGTGATGTTATCCACAGGATTTCCACATGATAATGTGGTGTCTGGACTCTGTGGTCATTACATTTTTAGGTGTGTGGGTCGGAAACGACCTATTGCACATCAACATTAGAAGGTGGTGTATGATTGCCAAAGAACATGGAGACTTTCGGTAGGAAGGGGATGAAGTAATAAAGGATGCCCTACAGCTACGCGTGGGTCAAAATTCCAGGCTGGCAGAATCTTTTTTAAACTAGCTTCTTAATTATAGCACTTTAATTGTTGAAAATGTACTGGAGATCCACATGTGTCTTTAGTGATATTTAACATTTCTTTCATTTAAACTTATGAGGACCTAAAACACATGATGGTGTTGGTCTGAAGTGCTGCTGGTAATGGGATTGTCAGGGTGACCAGACCAAATCACATCAAAAGACTTTAAGTTCATAAGTAAACCGTATATACATTTCATTTTGATTGAATGTGCCTTTAAAATCTTTTTTTTTCCAAAAATCCTTACTTGATCCCCTGAAATGTTTATGTTTTTAGGACTGTAAAAAGTAAATGTTCCATTGATTGTGTTTTGCTAAAGCAGCAGCTTGTAATTTGTTAATATAAGAAGTAAACTGATTGATCTAAGTTTTGTTTTCTAATGCTAAGATTTCTATATTTAGCAAGTCAGACATGTGATAAAATAGTGATCCCTGTTATAAATATATCTTTTAATGCATCTGGTTGGCAGTCTAACACTGCAGCAATCATTAGTTAACTAAGGAGCTTTTTTCAAATATGATCCTTACTGTATAATACAGAATTGGCCATATAAGAAACAGACATGCGATAATTGGACTAATTTAGTTGAAGGTGAAATAAGTAGGCATCTGAAACACTGGATATTTTCTTAACTCTTTTATGCATTTAAAGGGTTATTCACAAAACGGTGAAGAGTTTGGAGAAGGCAGGAGAAGTGAACAATCTAGGCCAAAATAGCTGAACTGGAAAGTGAGCTGAATTGGAGACTCTTTCCAGTTCAGCTATGTTATCCTAGATTGTTCACTTCTCCTACCTTCTCCAAACTCTTCACCCTTTGGTGAATAACACTGTTAGTCTTTACAGAAGAGTTTAAGCAGACAAACACAGGACAATTTCACACATAAAAGGGCTACACGCTTGACAATAGAAAACAGGTATCACAATAGTATTGCGGGGTATGCCAATCATTCAAGGATATTAAAGTGATTGTAACCCAAAATCTATTTTTCAGAATGTTTGGCTAATTATCTCACTGTATACAGTTTATATGGACAAATCATTTTTATGCATCTATTGCAAAGTTTCTTAGCTTGAGATCCTGTCAGTTACAGCACTTTGTGTTGCAGGCTGACAACGATAAGCCACTATTTCGTAATTAGCAGCAGAGTTGTCCGCTTTCTCTCCAGGTAAGATACTTTGCAACAGATTCATGCAAAAATTATTTGTACAAGATAACTGTATACAGTGAGACATGATGTCAAACATACTGCAAAATTGATTTAGGCTTTACATACACTTTAAGGTTTATGCATTATCTTACACTAGGTGTCTGTTAAAATTAGCCTGCATAATTTTCATGTGTGGCCTAGTGTTCACTATGTTTACGGGCTGGAGTGATTTGTTCTGATTGAGCGCATCACACTGTTACATTTTTTTTTAGACTTAATTGAAGTGCCAAAATGCAATGCATGCATTCCGGAGAGCAACGATGACCTCAGGTGAGCTCCAGTGCATTGCACTGAAACCTTCCTCAAGTCAGCGTTGCAATGTAAACAGGGCACATAGGCAAAAAAATGTGTTAGCATACCCTGGCGATGGCCAGCATTCTTATTACGCAGAAAAATGCAGGTCGCTGCATATAGTGTAAACGAGCCCTTAGAGGCATATTTTATACCATGACCGTAACATTGTAAGCAGGTATGTAGTTGGTTTCTGTACACATCTCTAACAGGGTAGCATTGGATTTTTTTTTCTCTAAAGGAACCTAATGGTTACATAGGCAAGTTAATGTGTGTGCTTTTCCAACACTTCGTACTGTGTAGAGAAATTTAGCAAAATAGGAATTTAATTTGCATGTTTGGTTGATTAAAATTAATACAGATTTACTGAGCTAGTTATACTCCTTTAGTAAATGCACCTCATTAAGGTTAGTACTGACTGGACAAAATTATCAAGAGCACGGAGATTGTTAGTGCACGTTAGTCCATGTTATGTAGATTGTAAGATATCTTATATATGGCCTATTAGAAGGATAACATAGATTTAAAGAACTTAGTAGGGCTGAGCCTATGACCAGTACCTGAATATGGTATTGTATTTTTTTCCTACTGCATTCTCTAGTTTAAATTCAGCGTCCTCACATGTATGTTGTTGTGTATCTACCATATGCTTATATTTAGGCCATGGACCCTGGGCCTGTACCTTTTTCCATGGAGGACATTTTCATAGACAGTGATTTTTATTATAACCTTTCTGCTTGGCAAGTGCCAAATTAGAAACGATTTTGTGGAAATGTGTTGTTGGTTACTCCCATGTACTTTGTTTTAAAAGTTGAGAATAAAAAATCCAAAATACCGGTGAGACTTGGTGCTCAACACTTTGATTCGAGTGAGCAAAGGAGGCGATGCTACAAGTTGTTAAGGGCCTATACAAAGTTTAGTAAAATTTAGACTAGAAATATATTGAGAACATATATATTATAATTTAACAGTAAAACTACAGACACCACTGTTTATCAATTTGTGGTGGAAAAGCAGAAAAAGCCACCATATGCACTAGAAAGGTACTCTCTGACAAACTATGTATTCTTCAGATATATACAAGCACTTCCATTTGCAAATTTAGGTCCATAGTAAGAACTTTGCAAATCCAGTCTGGCTGTTATAAAGTGACATATTTGTGTGAATATGACACTTTTTTCTTCTAAAATACATTTTAATAAAGGTTTAGATTAATAAGGCTGTGGATGTTTATGTACCTATACAGGGAATGTCAGCTGTACGCTTTTAAGTTAGATTTTCTTATTGAAAATCTAACTTAATCCAAAAGTAATGCAATATTTATAAGTACGGACACTTTAGACATGTATATTTATAAAAATTAAATACTATGTTATACCTATGTTATATATATATATATACTATGTATCTATGTTATATATATATGTCTGATATCTGGTTTTATCATTGTAATTATTATTTATGCATCTCTGTTTGTAGCATAATGCTATATTAGGACCCCACATAAGTAAAGACAGACATACTGAGTTTAGCAACATAATGTTATACAAGAGTTTATTGAGATATAAGCACATGACATGACATGACAGACACAAAGTGAAATCCAGTGTTCCACACACCAGAAACAGGGGGAAGGGTAAATGCAAGATATTAATGAATTAAGAATACATAAACATTGAAACATGTTGGAAATCTTGATAAACAGTGTTAATACAATGCCGTTGTTGTCACTAGTGTACTTTTCAATGTTGTTAGTATTTCCTCTGATTGTTCTTAAGATACATGATATGATTATATAATTTCATCCAAATGGCAAAAACTGCATTGGGTTAACATTTGCATCATTCTATGGCACTAGAGCACTAAAGCTTGATGTTCCACACATCAAAATGACGATAGGTTGTAGTTAGAATTTCAGATATTTAAAGATTCATTTACCCCTGTTTTTCTTTATTTCTTTTGAAGTTATATCCCTGAGCACGCCTGAACAGGTATATATTGCTCCTCTGTTCCAATCTGTTTTATTAACAATGGCTCTGGTGTACATCCAGTAGGTCCCAGTATCTTCATCCAGTATGGGCTCAGTGTTTGTGTACTTCTCTTCATCCATGACTAAACCATTCTTCTTCCACTGCACATACAAGTCTTTGGGATTGAAATCTTTAAACACGCAGGTTAGACCTATAAAGTCAAATACAGCCAGCTCCTCTGATGGTGGTTGATAACAATATATTGTTGGATTTGTCATTTCTTCATCTGTAGGGAATACATTTTTTATAATTAATACAATGTATATTTGTATTGCTATACAGATAACTATCTTTTAAATCCAATAAAGGGGTCTGTCTAAGCAAAATATAAATTTAACTCAGGTCACCCACCATCTTCTTACAAATAGAATCATAGCAAAAGCTAACCATTGGTTCAGCTCATCAGCAGCCACCCATTACTGAAATATAATTTTTTTTTTTCTACCCAAATGTTTACCCTTAGACTTCTGTATTCCGTATATCAATATTTTCAGGCAGAGGTAGTTTGCAGTGGTATATATTTGGAGAGTTAATAATATAGGCAGTAATATTTATACTAGAGAAATATGTCCTAGGACAAGATACTTCCCTGATCAAAATTGCCCTTTTAAGTCAAGTCCTATCTTTTTAGGACGTAGATCCTTCTCTAACGCATTCAGATGTCGTGTAATTTGGACTTCATCAGTAATAGGCTTTTTTTTAGGAAAACAGTAAAGATTACCCTGGTAAACATGAGACAAGGAGCCAAGAGCTCCATCTGCAGGCTGCAAATCAAAAATATTATCTAGAAAAAAACAACAGTGAACTTTGTCTGTGAAGGTTCTTATTCATCCAGGTCATGATATATCTGAACTTTGCACTCCTTATCACCTTATTAGTGTGTTAATAACAGCGGCGTTTTATTATCTGTCTAGATAAGGTAATGTGTATACTTTCACTAAAAAAAATACAATATATCAAAAGAATGTATTCATATGTATTGACCTCACTCAAAGAAATCAAATACATTTAAAAAAATAGATTTTATATTCCCGATACATATATATTTATGCATAAATTTGTACCTGCTCTATATTTAATGTTCTTTTCCACGGGGGCTGGAAGGTCACTGTGTGCTACAACACAGGTAAAGGAGTTTCCAGAATGCCAGTCAGCGACACTGATCCTCAGGGTACTTGTAACAGTGTATGTGCCATCATATCCCTGCTCTGGGTCATTGGTGAAAACCTGAAGTCTTTTGCCATCCTGACGCCTCCACTTAATTTCCAGAGACTCTGTAGAGGACAGTTTTTCCACTTTACAGGTAACTTTGGCTTCCTTGGTGATCACCAAGTCTTTTGGGGAAGGTGGCAGGATAACAACCTTTGGAAGTGAACCGGATGACTCTGAATAAAAAAAAACAAACAACAATTAGAATTTAAAAAAGGAAAAAAAAAGCCAAATGACCTGCAGCAAGGTGGTTATTATTTTATTATAATGATCTGCATTAGACCTCATCAATTAACCATTTTGGATAATACTTAAAGGGGAATTTTTTTTATTAACCCTTGCTTTGGGGCTATCCCTGCACTGCAAGGGTTAACTACTCTTTTGTCTTGGTGTAAAAATAAAAAAAAAGTTATACTGACCTGATCCTCGGAGCCGGCTTGTTCTCAGACTGTCAAGCAAAACATCCAAACCTCTGTCATTATCCTTAGTGGTGAGACAAGTTGTTTTACATGCTGGTTTGTGAGTGTGCCATGATGCCTTTCTGCTGTTTTATTGTTTTCAGACTGGTCCCTGCCTCCTCTCTCCCCCTCCACTGCAGAGGTCTGAGGTCCCGTGAGTCATTTGGTCTTATACACTGTGTATAGGACATGAGGATGCCAAGGGACATACCATTGCTGGAGCTGAGGAGGAGGCAGACTGGAGGGAGAGCTGTAACAGCCGTCTGGCTCCAAGGATCAGGTAAGTATAACTTTGTTACTTTTCTCCCTAGACCAAAATGAGCACTTAACCCTCAAATGCGGGGGTGGCCTCAATGCAAGGGTTAATAAGACATTTCCCTGGATTTCTGCTTTAAACGTTACATTGTAAACACTAGTAATTCCTTTTTGGGATGTTCATCACAGATGTCAGATGTTCTTTCACTTTGAAATCCATGTTACAGAAGTGACAACTAGAATTTAAAATCCATAAAAGCCATTTTAAAAGCCATACACTTCTGCATGTCACCTCCTCTACATCCCAATCAATTCACAGTGCAAATGGTCACTAGTGTCCCACGTTCACATTTTTTATGAAGTTTCAATAAGCAATGGTCTGTTCGTTTAATACAGAGTGGGGGGGGATCCTAAATGTTATATGGCATTAAATCTGTCGCTGTCACAGATAACACTGCAGTTTTAATATACCAAAATCTCTTTCAAACAATGTCTGAGTTGCCTTACTACAACAAAGAGGATTCAAGCCTGACCTGGAAAATAAAGCTTTAATGTCGCTGTGAAACAATACTGAAAGATCCCATTAAAGAGTAGCTTCTTTTTTAGTCTTGTAAATATATATTGAAATAGATTTCAATCATAAGTAAAAAAAAAAAAAAAAGTTGATCCTTCCAGAGATTATGTAAGCTAATAACTTACTGTACCCTCTGCATGTGCTGCATTGCAATCAGTTAGCATTGTTCACATGTCATTCTGTGAACTACAGAACACCTCCCCCCTATGTTATGGAGGGAAGAGGAGATGTTTTGTAGTGTGCCTTACTTCCTGTCCTAACAATGCTGCTCCTCCAGTACAGACACAGCACAGTGAGTAAGTATTGTCACCCAAGGACAGGAAGTGTCTTGCTGCCAGGTTCTCCAGGTGAAAATAAAGGAAATAGAATCTGAAAAAAGAAAATGACTACCGTCCCCTTTTCCCCTTTTCTAAGTAACTGGTAAGCTGCAGTATATTACATTTTTGATCTTAGGTTTAGGTCCACTTTAAAGCAGAACTCTGGCAAATCAAACCGGCACACTGCAAGGGTTAAGTCTTGTTTTGCCTAGGGGGGCTAAAATAACAGATATATTCACCTGAATCACGATCCCGGCCAGCTCCTTGACTGGTCCCCTCAACGTCACTTCCCCTCCACTCCAGTGGTTTAACTTGGTCCTGTGAGTCATCATGTTCTATACAGTGTATTGGACATGAGGATGCCAAGGAACATTCCATCACTGGAGTGTAGGAAGAGACAGGCTGCAGTGGAGGTAGAGAGCTGTGTAGTGTAGGATCCCGGTTTGGGTGAGTATAACTTTGTTATGTTAGCTCCCTAGACAAAACATGCACTTAACCCTTGCAGTGCAGGGGTAGCCCCACAGCAAAAGGGTTAAGATTTAATTTGCCCGGAGTTCTGCTTTAAAAATGTTTTACTAGTCCACCTATCTTTCAGATGCTTTTGGCAATGACAGTTGTTTTGTTTGTGTTTACAGCAGATTATGCTATTATTACCTGCACATTTATGTATGCTGTCTTTTTCTGTGGTGGAAGTTGGTGGATGGATCACCCTACAAGTGTAAGTGTCCCCAGAATTCCAGTCATCCTTGGGAACAGAAACTTGACTTCTAGATTCAAATTTCCCTTCGGAATTCTTGTATGGAGTGCTGTTTGTTGGGGCAATAGAAGTTGTCTTTCCATTCAAAAGCCACTGTATTTTAATTTCATCTGGAAAGTATCCAGTCATGAGACAAACTAGGTCCACGGAACCAGTTTCCCCACAAGATCCTTGCATAAGTGCTACAGTGGGTGGACTTGCTGGGGTGGGATCACTGCATTCTAAACAAACAGATAAAACATGAATTAATTGCAACCTATTTGTGAAATACAGTTAATACCCCAACATATTTATTAGTTACATGTAAATGCTGGAGTTCCACTTTAAGATAACAAAGTAATACAAATAATGTTTTTTTCAGGACAAGCATGACTTTCTTTAATTATATTGTGTTGCAATTTTTTTATTTATTTATTAAAGGTATTTATATAGGGCAAACAATTTATGCAGCGCCCTCAAGCAGCCTACAGTCTAAGGTCCCTATCTCACATGCTTATACACAAGTGCCAATTTAGACAGGAGCCAATTAACCTTCCAGCATGTCTTTCGAGTGTGGGAGGAAACCAGAGTACCCGGAGAAAACCAACACAAGCACAGGGAGAACATGCAAACTCCTTGCAGATAGTGTCCTGACCGGTATTTGAACCGGGGATCCCCAGTGCTACTGTAGTATTACTATAAATAAAAGTATACATTTATTTTATAATGTTTCCCATTTATAATGACACTTACTGGTGTATACATAAACAAATTTTCAGAGCCATTCGTCCTGCAAAACTGCATGTACGTTCTGTGTGCATAGAGGCAAAAGCGAATGTTATTTGTATATTTTCTTTCAAGTCCGAAAGTAATATCAGTAAATACTCCATTTTGGCCAATAGATGGAGCTGAGGATTGGAAACAAGTATTTAACTCCTATTTTCCTGAGCTCCATTCGGTTGAATTAATGTATATGCGGTTTGGCAGGATGAATGGCTCTGCAAATTCTTTTTTATAAATACACCCTTAAAATGATGACTTTGGCACAAAGTGTTGCAAAGAACGTGTTCTTTTTGCTGATCACATTACACAATATTCCAGAATACAGTAAAAAGAAAATAGGCAAAAAGAAAAGCAGTGCTTCACAACAGCATAGCTAGTATTCAGTTCTACAGACATTTGTGGCTATATTGTATGAACATATACATAGCATTAAACTATGGCTGTATACCAACTAAGGGCTAAGACTGAAAGGTTTTACAGGAATAGAGCCCCTCTTCTTCAGTGGAATCTGAAAGAGGAATTGCACCCCCAAATATTAATCAACTGTACTTCTGTGTTGCCAAATATGCAAGAATATATATTCTTGTATATTTGGCAACACAGAAGCACAGTTAAATGAGGCATTAAAGCACTGCTAACCAGCCTGGGGGCCGAATGTAGCCCTTTGGCACTCATTGTGCAGTCCTTGGGGCCCCTGCAGACATTAGTCTGTTTTTGGATGCTCACTAAGGCCAGCAGAGGATTTTTTTTTGGTTCATTCTGTTTTATGCTTTTCTTTTCTGTCCATCCTTTTTCTCTTTTTTTCCCTCTTATCTTTTATAATTGATTTTGAGAAACATCAAATATGAAGTAATATTTAGGGGGGCTGTAAATAGAACAAATGTGGGAGCATTGTATTAACAGTTATCTCTAGCCATCTCGTGTAAACTTTCTCTGGTCTATAACTGTCTCCTGAAGCAGGTCCCCAGCCTCTGGCCATCTCTTGTAGCATGTTCCCAGTCTCTGACCATCTCATCATCCAGCATGTCCCCAGTCTCTGACCATCTCTTGTAGCATGTCCCTAGTCCCTGAACATCTCTTGTAGCATGTCCCTAGTCCCTGAACATCACTTGTAGCATGTCCATAGACCTCTGACCATGTTCTTTTTAATGTCTGCGGTCTCTGACAACTTTCTGTCAGGGACTGCACTTAGAGCCCACTGTTAAAAGTTAGACCATTTACTTGCTAATGTAACTTTGTTAAATTAGTTACATGTTTGCCTATGTTTATGAGACAAGTACATTTACAATATTGGTAAACTTACTACTAGAAAAAACAGTTTTGCTCTTACCTGGTATATCCTTGTTGATGTTTTGACCCGAGGCCTTGTGATTCACATTACATGTATATTTGTTACTTTTCCAATTAGATGTAGGAATAGTCAGATAGCTGGATGAAATATAGTTCCCATTTCTACTGAGTACGCCTGGAAGACTTTTAATTCCAGTAGTTATGGAGCCTGAATTCCAAGTGACATCTACAGGTTCAGGGAGGTAGCCAGTAGACAAGCACCCAATGGTGACTTCTGAGGATGTGATGTCACAGCAGGGCACCAGGGGGAAAACTGATGGAGCGCTTTTCTCAGCTGTGGGTAATAAATTAATTTATCAGTTATCAGATCATATCTGACAGAAAAACAGCAAATACATCTCAGTTATGTCAACTCTGCAAAGAAAAGGATATTTTTACATATAGTTACCAACCAACATCTCCTTTGTTAGTTTGGTATAGCTATTGGAACGGATAAAGACATGCAAAGAATGTATTAGGTGTTAGCACAAATCATTGCCAGGTGTGTTTTGTTAACATTGCTGGTTTTCTTATCATTCATACCTAGTGAGATTAGCTAACTTAATATGTATTAGTATAATGTGATAATGTTTGGAGCATAACAGAAAAAAATGGAATGCATTTTGCCTTTACCTAATGTATGTGATAATTCCAAAATGAGATGTTTTTCAATATGCTATATATACTATATGACCAGGTGATTCTGTTATTTATTGCTGATCTATTGAATTCTCATAGTAATGAATCAATTAATTGACTCTATGATGCTTCCATTTGAAAAAAACTGGCTGAAAAATAGCTGACTCAGACTCCTACCAGACAGGCTTTCCGATCACGTACACCTGTCACTTTTTCAGGCCGACCCAATCGGATGCCCAATGTAAGTCTAAGGATAGCTGGATCTGAATAGATGTAAGTCTAAGGATAGCTGGATCTAAATGGATGTGTGTCAGTTTACATCCGGCCAGGTCTGGAAAAACAAACGGAACAGTGTTCCATTTCACCAAGACTGATCATGCCAGATCGGGGGTAATTTGTTGTTGGTCCATATATATCCAATTTCCCATAGACCGACATGGAGCCTGGTCATTTCAGTTTTTTCCTCCATTGCTGATCAGGAGGTAATCCGTGCATGGAACCCTCCTAATCGGACAGTGTAAAAGGGGCCTTAGAATTCTGTCAAAGCCAACAACAGTCATCAAGGCTAACTATCCTCAGGGCTGTAATTTCCCACAAGGCCAACCGAGGCTCGGCCTTGGGGCAGCAGGGAGTAGAGGGGCAGCAGGGGTGTGGAATTCCTATCTCCAAATGCTTGGTACATGCAGTTCTGGGCACAGGGTGGGTTGCTGTTTTCTACATTTAGCCCTGCTTTGGGCAAGCAGAGCTAAATGTACAGCAGGGAAGCCGCCGCTTGTTTTGTACAAGTGATCTCGGCGGTGTCTCAAAGATCACTTGCATGCAGCCTGCATACAGGGGGGCGCATTGAGGAACCTGGCCTTGGGGCAGCTGAGAGAGTAAATCTGGCCCTGACTATCCTACCAGTTATAACTGGATTACTATTTTTCCAGAGACTGGTTTTGCTTTTTAACTTCTAAGTGGAGTGTCTTTGTAGTTTTGCCTTTCCATCATCAGTATAATTTAACCATGTTTCCACATTGCCTCTACATTGCTAAAGCCTGGCTTGGAAAATATTATAAGAACACTGGGGTTAAAGGAGTATTGCAAAACTAGTTAACCATTGGGAATATTTCACCAAAAACTAAATTTCTATTGCAATGGATGGGTAAAATTTGACTTACATACATGCATACATACATACAGGCAGGAAAGAACATCTCTGTATTGCTAAAGCCTGGCTTGGAAAATATTATAAGAACACTGGGGTTAAAGGAGTAGTGCAAAACTAGTTAACCATTGGGAATATTTCACCAAAAACTAAATTTCTATTGCAATGGATGGGTAAAATTTGACTTACATACATGCATACATACTTGCATACATACAGGCAGGAAAGAACATCTCTGTGGGATTTCCATACACCAATGGAGTACTTTCTGTACTCCATTGGTGTATGTACTCTGGGTTGTCATGTTGCATTGAATTCAAAACAGTTTTAGAAAGTTACAGCTGCTGCAGATTGAAAGCCAACTGAAGCCAATTACAAAATGGCTTTTTATAGGCTATATTTAAAAAAGAAAAGAAAATGGCAGCTGTTGACACAACAGGTCAATAGTGCATTTTTATGTTTGCCTACAGAAAGCTCAAAAACAAATGTGATGTAGCCATAAACTTATGATATACTAACAATACAGTAAGTAACATTGCTTGTTCAGTACACAATCTGTTATATTTCTACTTTCACATACTACATTTGTCTAGTATACCACTATTGACCTTTGCAAGCAATTCTTCCAAGTCTGTTTGTACAGCTACAATAATTCCCACACTGGGATGCACCTGGAATTCCAAAATCTCTTTCTGGAATTCAACATAGGGATATTGGGATAGCAGAAAATGCCACACTGACAATAGGAGCCCATTTACACTTCTGAGATGTTCTCAGGTGTTACATGCGTGAGCACTTTGCTCGACCATTCATTTTGAATGGCACACCAACACACTAAGGTAATGCACTACAATGCATTGTGTGCGCTGCTTAAGAAAAATGCTGCTGGATTGTTTTTTCTTGTGCATTCTGGTGCATTGGCAGCTTATTTAAAATTAACGCAACCTACTTTAACACGTGACACAATATGCATTAACACAATGTACAAGAAAAGGCAAAGCGTGAATGAGCCCCAAGGGTCTAAACATAAGACTTTAAGTACCAATTCAGAACTCTATGCATATTCAACTGTGGACTTCTGTTACCGTATTCACACACCTATCTTTTAGGCCATGCATGTATATAAGATTACCCTATTACTTTACATTCATTTATCTGTATCCAGCTATTTCTCATTTTGCTGCTGATAACAATATCCTCACCATATAGGCACAGAGCCTATAGGTGGCTCTCACAGTGCTATCTTTTATATGGTACACACATTGCTGCACAGCTTTTTTAAAGATATTATTGAGAGAAGGGTTATTTTTGTTACCAGTCTGGTTTAACTTCAAGTTAAATGTGATTCACAAATTGGCATACCATGGATTCTCTATTCACTCATTGGGGTTGATTTAATAAGGGCAAATAGGCTCTTTTACTTTGCAAGGGAATTTACACTTTGCAGGGGAAGTTTCCCCTTAGTTTAATGAGGTAAAGCTCTGCTGACTTCCACCTTCCAATCATGTGCAAGCAAAAATACTCTTTTTTATTTTCCTTGCACATGATTGGGTATTTGGGCACTTAGCAAAGTGACATTTCACCACAGTCACCAAGCTAAGGGAACATATTTCCTTGCAAAGTACAAAATGCCTGGAAAAGTGAACGGCCTATTTGTCTTTAGTAAATCAACACTACTGCCCCTACAGTATGCACAGATTGTCTCTATTGCCTTATCCTTACTATTTCTGCAATTATTTTTAAGACGCTTAGAGGGCTAGAAATAAACCCTGTCCCTGATTAACAGTTCTTCTCCTTCTAGCATCACAGCACTATTACTATGCACTGTACAGTTTATTTTCTAACTGAATTTTTTTTGTATTTATCTAAGGAACCCTAAGTCAGTTTATTTGAAGTCCATTATTCCTAAGTCTCTGGCATGCAACGCTAAATACCTAATAACTCTGCACTGTCCTGTATTTTTTGTATATTGATATATACAGGGGGTAGTCGTATGTTACTTGCCCCTCTGTGCAGTATATGTCAATATGGTGCCTACCTCCTCCCAGGAAAGAGAAATTCCTGCAAACAATGTCACAGCAGTGATGTTATACGATTTTATCAAAGTGGCCTAATGTGCTAAATGTAGTTCCATCTTAGCAGTTAACATGTAATGTTACCAGAGTATTGCCACATTGCTGGTATCATTCCACGCTATTTCAGCCCATTATTCTATCTTAGCAAATAAATGGACTAAAAAATGAAGAAGCTGTTGGTTCTCCCACTTATCCTGTCCAAGTAATGATAAAACAAGCCAACACGCCACCATGGGAACTTGCTAAATGGTGGGACATTTGCTAAATGGTGGGACACTTGCTAAATGGTGGGACATATGCTGAGCAGTATGTGCAGTACACATTGAAGGATATTTATCGAAACTGGAGCAAACAAAATCCAGCAGCAGTTGCTAATGGCAACAAATCAAGTTTTAGCTTTCATTTTCAAACCTTAACTGAACAAACTGAAAAGAGAATGTCATTGGTTACTATGGGCAACTGCTCTAGATTCTGTTTGCTCCAGTTTTGATACATTCCCCTCGATATCCTTATCCAGCAATGTGCAATGCACATCTGAAAATCTGGGCACCCCCACATTCACAAAACAATGTACTGCATGACTGCACAGGTGGTCTAAGGCTATGATTTGGACAAGTTTGTGCACATTTTCTCCTTGTCTTTTCAAACTAAGGACTATTGTAATGTTCTAAGCCTTTTGTAGTGTAGGTAAATGATCCTGAACATGGTTTACAGCTCTTTTGGTTCTGAACAGAGCCAATCAAGGTCAATAATGCACACATAGCATTTTGGGGCACTGAAAGCTCTGATAACCCAAGATCCTTGACTACCATAGCTTTTCGTGGCATAGCTGACATTAAAGCTTACAATATAGAACTTAATTTTTAGGGGATTTATTGACTACAATATAATTGCAAAAGAGCAAATTTTGTTTAGCTCCATATTGTCCATGTTTCAGTGGGCTATAGCTGGCCTCATGGTTCTGCGCTGAACTGCAAATAATGTATCTGTTTTGGGACTGAAGTTTTAATTTCCTAGCTCCAGTTAATAAGCTAAAGCTTATTAGCTACAATAAGCAACACTCAATAGTATGTGTGCATCACCCTGGCATCATTCTTTTTCGGGGCAGTAAACTATAGCTCGTGCTGAACTGCCAGTAGCTACTTTAACAAGCAATAGCCTGCAGCTCTGTACCTCTTTTTGACCTCTATTCTGACTTGTTTTTTTTAACTTGGCTCAGCATTTTATAACCTGCTGTGGGATTCCTACAGTATTCCATGTGCCATCCTTCTGTTAGCTTACAACATGTTTTCTATTCTGATTCTTGTTTCAATAAGCTTTAAATGTATATTATATACCTACATTAAGCCCCACAGCCATGGTTTATCCAGATACAAGCTTACCATTACAATATAATTGCAAAAGAGCAAATTTTGTTTAGCTCCATATTGTCCA